TAGCACCACTCGTGATGATCCGCCGCCATACCGGCGGAGTCACATCTCTCATGGCTCGTTTACAATTCTACTGTTGATGCGGTACAAGTGGCATGGAATCCTTGGAGCGGTGCCCAGCATAGCCGTCTGGACGTCGACCGGATATGTGACACCATTCAGTTCCTAAGTGCGCGGAGTGCCCATCGGCCGATGCCGTAGGTCGCTCACCCTCGTCGTTAACTAACGCACATATATACTGGCTGGGATGGTTCGACTACCGGCTGCTACGTTCTCGCTTCCTGTTTCCAAATTCGACAATAATCTGGTCGAGCCTTCAGTAGACTAGCAGCATGGCTCACCCTGACTCCGAACTTCCTCCCCCGCCGTACGCTCGATTCGCAGACGACCCACCGAACTATGACCCCGCCAAGGCACTGGCCGACTTCAACGCCCTTTCGTCCGAGAGCAAGGCCAAGTTCAGTGTAGGTATTGCGCAAGCCGCAAGCCAGGACGATGCAGCATCGCACTTCAAGGAGGCAGCAAGTGCTGCTGCCGATGCCGCCGAGCAGATCGACACAATGTTCATCTTGCTGACGGCGAAACTGATGAGCCTTGAAGACACTCAGTCGTTCGTAGACCAGTTCAAGATCATTAAGGAGGCACGTACCTATCATCATTTTACCACCCCTCGTCGGTTCTAGAAGTGCTGACTCCTTGTAGCACTACCGCAGCGTCGTGAAGGACTCACGCGAACTGGCTACTAACATCGCCCAGTATGCTGAATGTGAATATTCTCTTTGTTCTGCTAAATACACGCAGTATTCATACGAACCTGATATAGCATTTGACTCTGTTGTGGTCAAGTTCTGCGCAGACCGGACACTTACCGTGGAGCGACGCAAGACAAAGATTAACGAATTCATTACGGTTAGTGTACATTCCCAGCTTCTTGGCCACCAGTCGATCTTACCGTGATTCCGTTTTGCACAGAAAAGCGATGAAATCAAGGGGAGTGCGGAGCGCATGCAAAAGCGGTTCAAGGATCTCAAGGACGAGTTCACCAAGTTTGTCGGCAGCTTCTCGACCTGGGCCAAGGCACGTGAGGAGGCGGATGAGAAGAAGATCAAGGAGCTGTACAAGGATATCTCGGACATCGACGACAAGATCAATGCCATGGACGCTGCAATGGCAGTCATCGGCGCGGGACTGGGTGTCACGCTCGGGGTGACGGGTCTCCTGGCTACCCTCTTTCCTCCAGCTGCGCCGTGGATCGTGGTTCGCCTCTCGCCATGTTTGTCCGAGTTTCGCTTCATGCTGACAGACCTATAGGGTATCGGCCTTTCACTTGCTGGGGTCGAGCTTGCGTCCCTTACAGGACTCGCCATCGCGAAGTGCAGTACGTCAGCTGCCACACTCGGACGTCCACCTGTCTTCTGATGTACGAGACCGGATTTTGCAGTCCTACTCAACGAGAAACGCAACAAGGAGAACCAGATCCGAGACCTGCAGGATGAAATCAGCAAACTCAAGGCAACGCGCACGCAGCTCGAGGAGAAGGGCCAGACCGATCTACTTACCTTCACCGTCAACATCCAGGCTATCTCGAACGTATGGGTCAACGTGCAGAACGATGCGCAGGATATTCGGAAATGGCTTGAGGACGGCGCAGCTGTTGCCGTGAGTCATGAAGTTGTCAGAACCCGATTTCAATTGGTAATGATGACCTACACCAGGACACTCCGGCTTACATGAAGGCCTCGTTAGACCACACTGTGAAGGCGTACGCCAGCATGGCTCGATACTTGAAGGACTACGCGAACGGGATCACTGAGACCGTGAAGAAGTTCGGAGCCTAAGTGTTGAATGCGCGCGACGTAGTACTACGTAGAGATCTGCGGAAACCGTGTCAATTCTAGTAAATGTCGAGAATTTTGATTATGGTACAGACATAATGTTGTATCAATGACCGTGCCCTAAATTCGGTTGTGCATGACGTGCCTTACACCGCAGGCTGTGCGGGCGCCGCAAATCCGCAGTCATACATCGCTCGCGCCCTTCAACAACAGCCTTGCGCGCTACATGCTATCCGATGGCATCATGATCACTTAGTCGTGTATAAAAACCGGAGGATAAATGGATATCATAATCTCGCAAGAGTGTTCTCCGGTCTGCCCAGCCACCGGAATGTAGCGCTGAATATGACAACAGGAGGCTCGACGAGTCAACACGCGGTAGAACTTCTGACTGGGAAGGACGTGACTTACCCTCGACTTCCCTGCTGACACTCTTGCATGATCCGTCTGATTCCAGGGATCTGTCAACCGGGCTTGAATTGACAGAACGTAAGACTCGTGATGAAGCGACCTACTAATCGACAAGGCACGTCGGCGGGCACTCTTGTTTGAGTTCAGCAGCACAGGCGTCGTGCGCATTCAACTGTTCCTGGCATGGAACACGATCATAAGCCCAGCTTCAGAGCGCCATCAAAGCACAGCTCAAAGCTGCTTCCGCCGCCGCGGTATTAACGCCTCTATACACGTCACTCATCCACGGATTCGGATCGCCCGTCACCCCAGAAAACTTGAACATGGTCAGCAGATTCCCTTCAACGTCTCCGTGACAATAAGAACAGCCACTAGCCGTCCCTGGTACAAAGAGTTAACGTACCTGCCCCTTGATGAGTCTATGAGTGGAACAGAATGAGCCAGGTCTTTGTCTTCAATGAGATCTCTCGATGCAAACCTGCATCCACTACGCCGGAGTTCGGTCCTGTTTTGGAGATGTAAGTTATATGAGCGTATGGAACTTGTCGGATGGAACAAGTCGTGGAAACCTGAGTAGAGGAGGGTCCTGTATAGGCTGTCAGGCCGTCTCGCCATGAGGTGGTGTCGGCCGTGATGGTACTCCGATGACATCCACCATGACCATCTAAGTGGCCGTGTCGTGATCCATGAGCGTTAGGCGATCTGCACGCTGAAATGGAATCCATGGAGCTGAACGTAGGCCTTCTGTGCAATACCAGAATATGCGACCATGACTGTTCAATCCGTCAGCGCGTGGAGTATCCCGTCGGCACACGCCGTGAGTCGATGGCCGTCGCCGTTCGTCACTTTGGCATATAACAGTCTCGTTCGACTGCTACCAGCCGCAGCAGATCCACGCCCCGTTTCCTGCCTCACAGAGATTGAGTCAACGACCCAGCGTACTAGCACCATGGCTAACCTTGACTCGGAACCTCTTCCCCCGTACACTCGCTTTGCAGACGTCCCTCCGAACTATGATCCCGACAAGGCACTGGCCGACTTCAACGCCCTCTCCTCCAATCAGAAGAAGGGGTTCAGCAGCGGTATGGCGAAGGCCGCGAGCCGCAAAGACGCGACGCCGCAATTCGAGCAAGCCGCGAATGCTGCAGCTGACGCCGCCAAGAACGTCGACGAGATGTTCGTCTCACTGACGGCGAAGCTGATGAGCCTCGAAGACACCGAGTCGTTCGTGGAGAAATTCAATGTCATTAAGCAGGTGATGACATCGGCTGTGGTTTCCTCTATTGCAGAGCGGCTGGCTGACCAATAATAGCACTATCGCGATGTTGTCACGGATTCGCATGGCTTGGCTGTCGACATTGCACAATATGCTGAGTGTGAGTATCCTCTTGATTCTGCACAATGTATATGGTGCTATAACAAATCCATTATAGCGTTCGATAAGATCGTGGTCAAGTTCTGCGCGGACACGACACTTACCGTGGAGCGGCGCAAGAAAAAGATTGAGGAATTCATTGCGGTCAGTCATGATTCTAACGTCCCAAGCTCCATGATAATCTGATTGCGGTTCCATTTGCTACAGAAAGGTGACGACATCAAGTCGAAGGCGGGCACCATGGACGGCCGTTTCACGGACCTCATAGACGAGTTCACGGATTTCGTCGGCAGCTTCAAAGATTGGGCAAAGACCCGCGAGGAGGCAGATCAGAAAAAGATCAAGCAACTTCTGAAGGAAATCGGGGAAATCACCGAGACGATTGGCAAGATCGACACCGCAATGAAGGTGATTGCTGGGGCGCTGGCGTTAACACTCCCCATCACAGGCATTCTAGCCGTCTGCTTCCCTCCTGCTGCACCGTTTATCATAGTTAGTCTCATGCTTGTGTTCATTCCACTGTACGCTGACCTAGTAACAGGGTATCGGCTGCGCAATCGCAGGGGTCGAGCTCGGGTCCCTTACGGGGCTTGCCATCGCGAGAAACAGTATGTCAAGTGCTATGCTTTGACCCCGTTCTCTGACTTCTAACTTGGACCGCCGATGCTTGCAGTTCTGCTCAACCAGAAAGCCACCAAGGAAGGTCAGATTACGGACCTGCAGAATGAAATCAGCAAGATCAAGGCAGCGCGAACACAGCTTGAGGAGAGGGGCCAAGCTGACCTGAATACCTTCACCGTCAACATCAGAGCCATCTCCGGTGTATGGGTCCACGTGCAGAACGATGCGCAAGCCATCCACAAGTGGCTCCAAGACGGCGCAGACGACGCTGTAAGTTAATACCCTATTGCCAGGTGTCTCCTATCTCTGATACCGACGATCTGTACCAGGATCAACCGGACTACATGAAGGCCTCGTTGGAGGAGGCTGTCGCGGTGTACACTGCGATGGCGACGTACTTGAAGAACTATGCGAACGGCGTCACCTCGACGGTGCAGATGTTCAACGCCAGCACTTGAATAGACGATGTATCACTGTAATATAGCTTGTAACCTGCGATGAGTTCTGAGCTTTTGACACCGTGACGCCAGCATCCGTGACTCGTTGTATCCATAACATAAGGCAGAAGATAACTTGACAGAATCATACCAGTGCCTCATATCCGCAACGTGCGGCGTTGTTTCGTCTCGGTCTGTTCACAGTGGGCAGTAGGTTCGACATCCCGCGCGCTCCCTTGCTGGGGTCGCGGAACGACCATCCATATATGGTAAGTAGGACGAATGCTCAAATTATATAAGGCCGGCGATCCACCGCTAGCAAAATGACCGACGCAGGGGTCGAACCTGCAATCTCCTGATTATTCGCACAAGATGCATCGTAGTCAGACGCGATGCCATTTCGCCAGTCGGCCATACACGTGTTGTGCCTTCTGGTCAATATGAGCTGAGCAAGCGACAGGGAAAATGACGGCGGTCGACCTCGCCCACATACTGATTGAATGGCTAGTGAATGTCTTCTGAAGGTCTAGCTGTGTCACAAATCTACACAATGCTACAAGTCCCAGTTCCCCTTTCCAAGTCCGAGACGCTCTACATAGCAAGTAATGGTCCGTCCGATCGTCCAAGTCGAAGGTCCCAACCAGATGCCCCAGCCGTCTCCGACACGGCCCATGGCACAACCTCACACCGCCCACACTGCGAGTACGATCGCCGTGAGCGACGTCGCGACGAGCGCGCCGAGCGTACCCAAGCCGAGCACCGACCCGCCGTCCGACGACTGCGCCATCCACGGGTCGCCCGCGTCGCCGCTCACGTCGCCCTTCAGCACGCTGCAATAGCTCTCGTTGAACACCGATGTCGGCAGGAGGACCTGCGACGTGCGTTTCCCGCCGCGTTAGCGGCGCATCCACCCAGGGAACACAAGAGGGGAGGGGGAGAAAGACGCACCGCAGGCATACCCGCGCTGCCCGTCCACGCGACCGCGCCGGAGTCGCCCGCCTTCGTCGTCTCGCAGCTGAGGACGTCGATGAGCTCCGCGCCCTTGCTATAGTTCGTGCCCGGGATCGACCAGCTCGGCGAGGACGACCCGCCCGCGTTGGTGAGGAGCGCGAGGAGGGGCGGCTTCGAGATCGCGAGCTGCGATGGGGACGACACGGGGAACTCCACCTGTGGCCCGGGCCAGTCGATGGGTGAGTACCGAGACTATAATCTGAGCAGGCAGGGACGTACGGGCGTGCGCAGGAACGTGGCGTTGTTCCACCCGATCGCAGCCTTGCGCGCGGCGTTCAGCGAGCGCACGTGGATCACCAGAGGCTCGTCCTCTTCGTATCCAGACAGCCACAGCCTACATGGGGTGAAATTAGACATTGCACGGACGGAACAGGCAGCCACACCCACGCTTCGCGATTGTACGGGTCATTCGCGCCTGCGTACCCCTGCTCCTGTCCATAGTACAAGATCGGGATCCCGTCCTGGATGAATAGCCATGACATTGCGTTCATAATGAGCTGCATCAAGGACGTTTAGCCAAGCTCTCGTTCCGTACAAGACGGGTGTGCACGCACTGACTGATCCGAGGTGAGCGACGGGAAGCGCGGGTTGTCCTGGTTCTCGAGGAATGCCCCGGTCATGGCCGTTCCGAGTCGGTACGCCGCCTGCGAGTCGCGCACGGACGCCGCGAGCTGTGTCAGGTCCCCCGAGCTGTTCTGGAAGCCGCGGGTGAGCGGGTAAAAGTCCGGGTAGTCTAGCACCGCGTCCAGAACCTCTGCAGCCCAGTCAGCCAGCGAGCAACTAAGGTCATAACGAACTGAAATCGACGCACGCGTGTAGTTCGCGACATACGCGATGTCGCCGTCGAACACCTCGCCGACGCTCCACACACCCGCGCTCTCCACGAACGCGGGCCAAAAGTCCCTGCGGACGTTCTTGACCGTGTCGATGCGGAGCCCGTCGATGCCGTAGGTCTTCACGAGGTCGGCGATCCACTCGTTGAAGAACGCGACGGTGTCTGGGTTCTCCGTGTCCACATCCGCGAGGGGCACGGCAGAATCGCCAAGCCAGCACTGCTCGACGTCCGTCTGGTTCGCGTAGTCGGTGATCCAGCAGAACGGGTGGAAGGACGACGCGTTGTTGAATGGCGTGAATGCGCTGTAGTCCACCGCCGGTGGAGACGCGGAGGAGTTAGAAGCACCCGCAGACGCGTTCGATGGGTACAGGAGCGGCGCGGCCATGTGATTGACGACGACGTCGACCATGAGGAGCATGCCGCGCTCGTGCAGCGTCGTGCAGAGCAGCTGCAGGTCGCCGTCCGTGCCGAAGTGGTCGTTCAGGCGCGTCTGGTCGACCGTCCAGTAGCCGTGGTAGGCCGCGCCGTCGCCCGTGTCGCCATCGAGGTTCGCGACGACGGGCGAGATCCAGATGGCGTCGAAGCCCATGTTCTGGATGTAGTCGAGGCGCGAGATGACGCCCTGCCAGGTGCCGTTGCAGTACTGCCGCGCAGAGGTGTCGCAGGGCGGTGCGGAGCCATCAGAAGTCGCGAAGCGGTCGGTGACCAGCTGGGTAGCGTGAATAACTAGAATCCTTGCTGCAACTCAATACGAGAGTATCACACCTGATAGATTGAACGTTGTTGCCAGTCTTCATACGATGCCCCCAGGGCGGTACCTGCGAAGAGGAGCGAACGGACGAGGTACTTGAGTAACATACCCGCGAGAGAGCGAGCGAGGCGATGGCCGCGTTATAGTCTGTTAACGTAATCGTGTGCTGTGTAGGTGTTGCCTTGTCCGGTTCGATAGGAGGAACGCGCGCTGCGCGGAAACCTGAGATCGTCGGAGGGCTTTAGGTGGGGGCGGGTGGTAGGACCAACAGCGCCCTGCAGGAAGAACAGACCCTTAACGGGGGCGCCCGCCACCTGAACGTGTCGTTGACACAATGTTTGCTTCCCGGCCATTCTGGGATGTTGTGCGCGACGGCGGAGGCGCAGACCGCCAATGCGGCCACGAAGCCATTGGCACTGGTAATTGAGGCACTGTCACTGTCAGAGAAAGCGCGGTGTCAGCGCGCGGTTGTTTTCGAAGTTCGAACCTTCATACCTAGTACAAGCATTGTTGAGAAGAAGAGCCGTGGCAATAGTTCGCGGGATGGACGCACAGCCGTACTATCTGGAACCATGGTCTCCAAGGTAACATCATCTACCGTTGGCCTTGGAGGACGAGAACACCGCGGTGTAGATTACCGTCTGCTCAGCGCAACCACCGTGACGGTCCGCCACACCCGAAAAGGCATGTGTAGTCGTTCGTCGCGATGGGCGTCTCGCTGTCATCCCTTCGACCTCTCTCCTGCCAATCCGGTCAGTCTCAGAGCCCATGCCGTGTGGCGTCCCAATGGAAGCATCTGTCATAACTTACTGATGTATTGTCCTTATGTACAGCTTTTGGACATCGACCTCACCGCCGGCTCTCTACGCCGCCGTGACTGCTGCAACAGTGTACGCCTGCTTCACGACAATGATAACTAATAAGTACCGCAAAGTATCCTCTTCGCATTAGAGGAAGCATCGTAAGCCAACGTGACAGACTATGGCCATGTGAGACTAGCATAAGCATACAAGAAATCAACGACGTGCGTATCAACTATGTTTATGTTACTGAGGACTAGAGGAGGTCATGTAGCACCTAATGTATCAGTAATCCCAATTCATCTTCGGGCCCTAGCCCGCCTCCCGCCCGCTCGTCCTACGACCATCTGAGGCGGAGGCGGGGCAACAACGGGCCCGGGGTCGAACAGCTGACGGGCAGCCGCGCCTTGCATACCACCAAACAACGCCCCTGCGCCGAGAGCCGGCGGCACCAGGACAGCGGGCGGAGGCCTGGCGAACGGCAGCCCACCTCCACCAAGATGTGCAGGCAGAGCCGGGGGCGGCAGCGGTGGCAGCGGCGGCATTGGCGGTAGCGGCGGCAGGTGCACAGCGGGGGCTCCAGGCCGTCCGAGCCCGAGCACTGGGGCCTGTTGCCGCGCCTCTGCGAGACGCCCCAGCTCCATTCTCGCGCGGATGCCCGCCTTTCTTGCTCGGGCGTGCTCCAGTCTCGCTCGGGCGTGCTCCTCCAGTCTCGCGCGGGCGTTTTGGAGAGCCAACTGCGCGTCTTCGAGGTTCCGCATGCCCGCCTGTGGAAGCAGCCCCGCTGGCGGAAACGGGTGCACTGCGGCGGGCCTCAAGGCGCCCGCGAGACCGCGTCCCAAGTCGTGGCCTTCGTTGTGGAGGAGGACTACCCGTGCGGGCGGAAGGACCCCGCGTAGAAGTGCGGCTGGGCGGCCGAGGACATGAGCATTGGAAGGACCGGCGACGGGCTGAGGTGGGAGCTCCACTTTAATGTCCTCCTCGGAGGTCTCGGGATGTGCACGCTTGTACTCTTCCATTGCCTTCTTCGCTGCGGCGGTCACCTAGAAAGGAGCACCATGAGTTCGGCGGACGGAGGACTGCAAGGTCGGAGACGTACCTCTTGGCTGTGGCGCTGCTCAACGGAGTCCCACAGTTGGCACTTGTTAGGATCAGGCCGGCCATTGTACGGAGGAGGCTAGATCTCAATGAGCACACTGCCTCAGCCGAACTCGAAAGACTGAAACATACATTGTTGAAGTGTTCATAGCCCGTGATGACTTTGCGGCAGACGTAGCAAGACAACGTGCGACAGTTCGGGCAGACCATTTTGTTGCACTGTCGGTATATATGAGCGGTATGTCCGATTTGCGTGAGGTGGACGTACTCCTAGCTCCTTGATGAACGCTGTATGAGAAGACATTAGGCCAAGGTATGACGATGGTACCACGAGTTCCGCACCTTTTTGGCACTTGGGACAATTCCTCATGAGCGCGGCAGCTGCGAGACGACATGAGAAATGGGCAAGAAGGACGTGCCAATGGACTCACTCATGGCCTCTTCGATCGTGTGCCTTGCATCGAGCTTCTTGTCGTCTTCGACTTCTGCCAATAAATGTGAACACATGTGCGATGTCGCACTAATGGGACTGATCACACCTTTACAACTCTTGGGAAGATGGTCCTTGAAAGAGAGCCGTCAGCAACCGCCTCGCATCGCAGACATGCCAACTCACGGGCTTCTTGCACTGCCGACACGTCACTGCCATGCACTCCTCATTCTGACACCGGAACAGCTTCTCCTGGTCGTTCTCGATGACGACCTTGTACTCGCAATGCGGACACTCCTCCAGGCCTTCCAGGCCCGCTGCCTCGATCTCCTTGCGCTGCCTCACGCGCTCGTACAGGCTGAGCAGCTTCGGCGTGAGGAATCGCCGGAGCTCCGACTCCGGGAACGCGAGCTTGCACCCGGACTGGTCCATGCAGACGATGTTCGCGTCGTGCTGGCCAAGGAGGTTCTCCGAATACGATGTCATGC